CTAGTTACACTGGTTACACGAGTGTAGCAGTGCTTGTACTATTTTTAGAGTCCTGGTCTAATCCTTCATGTGTTACTAAGTCCAGATGACTGAAGAATCCTCACTTATGAGTGAATTATATTAACTTCGTAGGAGACCATTTTCATTGATTACTCATGTATAAAGTGACTGGTCATAAGAGATTGACTGGTGGAGCTGCACTCCACCATGCCTCAGACCAATGGACCCACCACTCACTTCACAGGAAGCAATAGGGAAAATACCTCTCACCACTAGGCAGAAGGAGGGGCCCTTAGAGATGAAGGGAAGTGAAAATGCGTTTCTGCTTGGGGAGGCGTGAGAATCCCCTAAAAAAAAAACCTTCCCAAGTATTCTTATGCAATAGATATGATGCCCTGAAATCTGAGGACTAGGATAATGAGGATTAGAGAAATGAGAATATAGATGAAGGTTCTTCTAGGATGGAGGGGTCGGCTAGGGCAGGGCAGTTTACCCCCCTCATCTGAACCTCCTCAATCAAGAAAAAAAAAAAAAGAAGGGTAGTAGTCATTGGTGACTCCCTTTTGAGAGGAATGACGAGCCTGATACGCCGACTGGACCCGATCCATAGGGAAGTGTGTGGTCTATCTGGGGTCTCAGTAAGGGACATCACCAAGAAACTTCCCAACCTGGTACAGCCCACGAATTGTTACCTGCTACTGGTTTTCCAGATGGGTTCTGATGAGGTCTCAACAAGAAGGGTGTGGATCATCAAAAGGGACCTCAGGGCCTTGGGACAATGGGTCAAGGGATCTGGAGCACAAGTCGTGTTCTCTTCTGTCCTGCTAGTTGCAGGGATTGATGGGGCAAGAAACAGGAAAATCGTGGAGATGAACACATGGCTTTGAAACTTGTGTTAGCAGCAGAATTCGTTTTTAATCATGGGTTGGTTTATATGACACTGAGCCTGCTGGCAATAAATAGGGCCCACCTGTCTCAAAGGGGAAGAACATCTTAGCTCAGGAGGTAGCAGGGCTCATTGAGAGAGCTTTAAGCTCAATCTGAAGATGGACGGGGACATAACCAGACTCAACGGGGATGAGGTGTGGGAAGGGAAGAACCCTAGCAACCAAAGTCATAGCAAAAAGAGGCTTAAGAGGAGATACCTTGCGCTGAGCTGAAATAAGCAGCCAAAGATGTAACTACAAGACATGGACTATGGGTACTCTTTTGCACCCCCACTGGGATATTGACACAATCAAATACTTCTGTAAAGTGCCTGTAAAGCAATGCAAGCAGTATAGGGCTACAGGAAGTTTAGGAAAGACAGACCAGGAAGAAACAGTGGTGGACTTGCAAATATTATCACTGTCTTTTTGGCTGTCTTAAAAGGAAGTGTATATTTGTGTGAATGAGCTGTGAAGAACGCCCAAACAGCTTAAGACGACAAAATTTTAAGTCAATTTAATTCCTGAAATACAGTTTCCATATCATTGTAAGGAGTATTTTTTTGGAAATCCATTATGCTACATAAATGGCATATTTACATGTATATATTTATGGATCAAGACAGTGAATAGTAATAGCATGAATTTATTTTGGTTATATTAATCGACATATAATTTTACTTTTATACTTTAGCTTAGGGTTTTTTTTCTGCACAAGCTTTTTTCTTGGCTAAGTTTGCTTTGGCATTCTTTTAATTTAAGTATGAACCCTTTTTAGAGTTTTTGTATTTGAGAAAGCTCTCTCATGAAGCTGGCCCATACTAGCCTTAGAATTGAACCTGTTTGGCAGAGCTGGTTGGTCTTGTCCTCTCTTGAAAGACTCTGTGAAATAGATACTCGTCAATTACTCATCTTTCTGGTTTATTTATTGATTAATTGTTTTTCAATTTTATTTTCTCTTTAGGGGGATTACTGAAGCTCGTTTTGTTTATGTCTTTGTTCTTGGCATAGTCTTCACTGGCACTAAAGATTTACTAAAGTCACAGGTTATTTCTGCAGACTCCTGCACGAAGAGCACAGGATTATGGGAAATATATAGTGGATTGGTTCTACTAGCAGCCCTTCTATTTAGACCTCACAATTTACCAGTCTTGGTGTTTTGTCTGCTGATTCAGACAATGATGACAAAATATATTTGGAGACCTTTGCAATTTGATGCAGCACAGATTACTATCATGCACTACTGGTTTGGCCAAGCTTTCTTCTATTTTCAGGTAAGCTGAATATTCTTCCTGCCGCAGGGGTGGGAGGGGGAATAGTTTTTCAAAGAAATATTGTCCATTGTAAATAAAATGCTAACTAAATATTAGAATGGAAGAGTTTACTGAGTTCTTAGAAAGGTTTAGTTTCTAGGTGTTTTATTAATGTTTTGTTTTCATAATCAGGAAAAGGTTCATACTTTGATGTCTTATCTTCAATATAGATTTCCAAAAGTGTTACAAGGATCAGATACCTCTACTGGGATGATTTTGGTCTGATCATTAATTTAAAAATCTCAGCTGAGTTGATTATTACCAATAAAAGGTAGATGGCTTTTTGTCGTTGATTCTTGAGGCTTACAAGACTTTGGTAGCATCACAATAAGCCTTCATACAGTTTAAGATTGAAGGGAAGATCTGTGGAATGTAATGTCTCTTAGGAGAATCGGAACTAATTTTCTTTTTTATTATATCAAATGATACCTTCTTTCCTGAGGAACCTTGCTAATTTCAATAACATAGTTCTCTGCATTGCAAATAAGGTTTCAATTCCACAAAAAACTTTCCTTAGCATCGAAGCTGGAGAGGATCTTTCTACTTCTAATAATGCTGGAAACCTAGTGTAGCAGCAGGCTGTCTAAAGAGAGCATTTGTTAAGTTGGGAATCAGATTGTTTCTATCTTAAGAGGAGAGGCTTTCTGATTTGGTGCAAAATTTCAAGCTAAGACCTGTGCTGACTTCCGAGGATGTTAAAATTGTGGTCAGGCTTAGGATACTGCCTGTTTAGTTTCTGATCCTGTAACTACTGACTGAGGATCAGCTTGGCTTTGCTCTGAGAGTACAAATCCAGACAGGGAATTGATGCAAAGAAGATCATCATGATTCATCCCTTCCTACCTAGTTTTCCTGCTCAGAGGAGTTAATGTCTCCTGATTGAATGGCTTTTGTATGTTTTGAATGTTACTGTTCAGGCAGTCAGCTTTGCTTATGGCCTTCTGAGAGCAGCCCTTAGTGGACTTGGCAAGAGGCTGAAGGCAGGGCCCTCTCAGTCCTGAGGTACCAAGCAGAAACAGCTGCCAGAAATTTAGTGGTGGGTAGGCTGGCAAGAAAATCCTGATTATGGAAAAGGGCCTAATAAAGAATGGTTTGAATGTTATCATATCGAGGCCATTTTCAGAGATGCTGAATTCTTGATACACATGGTTGAGAATTTCACAGAACCATGAAATTACAGAAGAGTTGAGGCTGGAAGATGTCTCCGAAGGTCGTTCAATCCAGCCTCCACTGATCTAATAGGGGGCCAGACAGATCATGTTGATCTGGACTGTGTCCACTCTTGATTTTATATACCCAAAAGGATGAAGACTCTGAAAGCTCTCTGGGCAGTTAGTCCCAGTACTTGACCACTCTAGCTAGCAAAAAAGCTTTTTCTGATGTTCAAACAGAACTTCTTGTATTTCAGTTTGTGTGTATTGATTTTTGTCCTTTTGCTAATCACTCCGGAGTGACTGAGGTGGTCAGAGTCTGGCTGCATTTTCTGTACTACCCCTCATCATGTATTTATACACATTGTTATGATCCCTGCTGAGCTTTCTCCTCTTGAGAGTAAACAGCCCTTTTTTTTTTTTTGCTGTTCACAATTGAAAGCAGTTATCTGACATGCAAAATATTAGCATAGACATGTAGAATGGTCAAGCTGGTAGTTCATAAAATTACAGAGGCTACGAAGGCCCCTTAAGATCTAATTAATGCTCTCTTTTCAATCAGTAAATTTATCTCAGTTTATTTCGAGAATAGCTTTTCCAGTCTAGGACTGTTGATCCAAGGACGGAACAATCCCTTTCCAGGTATTATGTGAAATTTCATGCCCCTCTTACGTTGTTTTGCTCAGTGTGAGGTCTTCTAATCTGCACTATCAGGGAAAATTGAAAAGCCGACAACCTACAAAACCCAATTCTTCATTAAATTTTTTGATAAATGTATTTATGTTTCTCCTTCATTTTGAGTTCAAAGTGACTTGTTACAAGAGAAAAACTGCTCAGTTAGTGTTGCTTAAAATCAGGATCAAAGTATTTTATTTGTTAATTAGTGACACATAAGTAATTGACAGTTATATATTGATAATTAACTGCTGGTCACTGAACTATAGCTGCAGGATCCATACCAGATGCACAACGGGTGACGCTGTTTTTACTGAGTAAGCTGCAGGTGTCCCAGATTTAGCAACTGCCTGTCCTGTCCATGCCTATCAACACTTACGTCTTAACGTTTTGACTGAGTTAGGAAAGAGTTGTATTTCAGAGTATGTGCCATTCATTCTCAAATACTGAATAAACATTAAGGAAGTATAACTGGGCTATTGCTGCTGCTGAAGTCTGCCAAGTTCTCAAACAGATCAGGTTTTTGTATTAACAAATTTTATACAATACAATTTTGTATTGTATTTTTCAATATTGGCCTCTGTTCAGTCTGCCTTGGTAACAGCTAGTCACTTGTTTACTGCCTCAGAAGTGAGCAATATCTCTGCTGGAATTCTAGGGGAGACATGTGAAGGAAGCACAACTCTTATCATTAGGCGTGATGTGCTCTGCTGGCATAAATTTCAATGTCTTTCCTGACTTGTATTTCCTCAAGTTTTGTGGTTACTAGAGCTATCACTGCTAAACTGGCAGGGTTCAGAATGCTGCTAGGGTTTTAATTTCCAGACAGGCATAGAGATCTAATGTAGCATACAAAATGATAGCAAGTTCATGGTTGAAATACAAAAATGGAAAAATGCTGAAATTTGCTGTTTGTGTAGATCAGATTGGATGCTAAATTTAAACTGTGCTAGCTAAATGAGGCAGGAGAAGATAAATATAAACTAAATATTAAACCCCTCCATCTGGAAATAGAGAGGCTTGGAAAATTATTGCACATGTCTTGGTGTGATTATAAGGAGAATGAGATTTTGTCCTCATGTTGCTGAGCCTTTATTAAATCTTCGTAGACTAGAGGGTATGTAATGACAAAAGCAATAACTCTGTCTCACCAAGCGTGGAATGTAAGTGATGGCCTTTTGAATATGATAGTGAGTAAAAATAGCCTTGTTCAGGATCACATATCTAATGAATGAGGCAGTATCCTTTAAAAAAAATATTGTAGGATCCTTAATGGCTTTATGGAAGTAGAGCTCTGAAAATCCAAAGTGTACAGACTAAACAAGGTTCATAGGAACAGATAGTATTTTTCACAAATCAGTTGGTATAGCTGATGAACATGGGGGAAGAAAATGAAGTGCCAGGGTCAGAAAGCTAATTTTTTGATTTTAAATATAAGTAGGAAAGAAAACTCAAAAATTATGGACAGGTTGAAAAAAAAAAAAGTCTTGATCTTACACTTGGTTTTGCATTCTGCACTTCATCTGTCTCAGGGCCTCAAGTGCATCTCCTGTCTAAGAGTTTAGTTAGCAGAGTTCAAGGTCATCTCCTTCACTGAAAGGAGCTGTTGAGAGAAAAGCGAGAAGGAAGGGCCTGGCCTTCCCTTCTGTTTTGGAGCTGCTTTAATCTGATGTTTACTGCCTGTGCTGTGTCACAGCAGGTATGTCTGTGCCTGTCTTGTACTTTCTTGATCCTGTTCTGGACCTGGACCTGGTGGGTTTTGTGGTGTAATCTTGGACCTGCCTTGCCACTACAGACTTGCTGTGTGTATCCCTGAATGGCGTCTGGCCTTGATCACTGTCTTTGGATCCGGCCCTGATGTGGGCATGCCACTGAACATTCGTAACTTACTGCTCTCACCTGCCTTGTTTTCACACTCATTTCCCAGTTTACCTTCCCTTGCAGAGCCAGCTGGCTCTTGCTGCTTTCTGACAATTTGAACCTAAAAGGCAAATTTGTTAAACAGTTGTAACTTAAATGGGAATACTACACATTGCCTCATTTTTCCAGTCTTTTAGCATGAGTTTTGTGATTAGTAAGCTGTGGAAAAGGTTGCTCACGCAGGTTGTGCAGTCTTTGTGCTTCAAGGTTTTTAGAGATTGTCTGGATAAAGTGCTGTATTATTTATGTGGAACTGGGTAAAACCACTTTGTTTTCTAGTCTTGTTGTAGTAATTAGTGTCTTTGCTTTTCTTGCTCAATTTACACAAAACAATAAATAAAGCAAAGTTAAAAACAATCCATTCTTATAAAAAAATCTACGAAATTAATACATTTTGTCAGAATGCTGCTTATTTGTCAGGATATTATTGCAAGCTTGAGGACCTCTTGATGAATTTTTCTGTGAGCTTGGATGATTGATTGTTTTCTACTAAGGTCTGAGTTGTCTACATCTCATAATTCATTTGTCACTTCCTAAAAGTATGCTGTATCTTTATCATTGCTGCTTGCCCTTCAAATGCAGTAAGAATAGAAATAAATAACTTGTTTCTCTTAACTAAAGCAGCTCCTAAAAACTTGCTTTGCTTGTAAATATTTTCGTTACCTTGGATGATAGCTCATAAATGAACAAAAATTCCATGTATTTATATATTAGTCTTGTGGAGTTTTGTTCCCATCCTTAGAGCAGTACATCTGCAGAACAGGAGAAAGAAGATAAAGGCTCAAAACCTTTAAGACTTGTTTATACTTTCTGGTGTTTTTTATCACTGGAGGAAAACAGAATGGGTTTGTACATTTTTAGAATCATTTACATCTAATTCATCTTGCCTTTAGGTAAAGAGATGGACTGAGTGACATGTTACAGTGGCTTGCAGCTTTCTCTTGTTATGATTTCAAACCATGGTAGGTCAATTTGCATTGGAGAGGACTTCAAAAGGCCCACAGTTCAATCCCATTTTCAGAGCAGCATCAGCTGTGAAGTTAAACCAGGTTGCTTAGGGTTTTGACACCTCCAAGGTCTGTATGGAGACAGCGGAACTGTTCTGGTCAACCTTTTCCAATAACTTCATTTTTCACCTTAAATTACTTGCTACAAATAATGAAAAGAAATTCCTCATTATAGAATTCCAATTATTAGGAAGGCATACAATTATGTGAAGTACTC